TGTTTAATTTTTTCTGTCTGACAAGTAGCTGAATAAAAAGGAAAACTAAGTACTTCACAGATATCTAAGAAGTGATAAAGGTACTGTCACTGGAAAATCACTTTGATTCACAGCACTACTCATCAAATCCATGTTGACTATGAATGGTATGACCCCACATATAACAAAGTGTATGTATGTTCCTGCACTGTAGGAACACTAGCTGAAAAGAAGTGGAATATGCATGTAACAGACACAAACACAAGAAAAAAGAAACCTCACACCTTAGATTTTAACCTATAAGGAATTATAAATATACAATCCTAATATTTCTTACACTACATCACAGCCATTTATCCCATATGGCTTCTACATCAAATACCGGATTCTTAACTGCTAACCTAACAGGTCCAGTTAAATGATGGCATCGACCAAATACTGTTGGCTCCTACCTAGTATTTCTCTGTTTTCTCTGCAGTGCTGGTCAGAAGAAGAAAATTACTAGTAACATTCATACATCTGGAGCATTGCATTCCAAGGTAGTAAGTTAACAAATCACAAAATTAGAGTTTGCATTCACTGCATTTTTTTTTTAAACAGATGAATCATTCTTGCCCATCTCTTTTCTAGAGTATAAAAAGAGTTTTTGTGACATGTTTATACCTATATATACATATAAATGTATCTACACGCACACATAGGCACAAATGTGATTATTGTTTCAAAAAATTAATCTCACATCTTACTTTTGTTTATTTATTTATATTATCTTTCTGATCTCTTTTGATTAAAAGAAACCAAACTCAATTCTGCGTAGTGCTACTCCAGGGGGTTTTATGTCATGTTCATTTTTCAGACAGGATAATTTAAGCTGTCATTTCTGTTACTCTGGATGTTTAATTGATTACTACATCAAGTCTCTCAAGTCATAGCAGAAGATCACTTTTCTGGTATCTTGACAATCAATTTTGCATTTTATCATTGTATAATCTAAAATGCTGGTGCAGTGGGGGATGCAAAGCTATTCTGTCATAATGAGTATGCTCATTTAGTTCAAAGATACATCAATATTGAGCCTAACTCTTTGTATACACAGAAAAGGCCACAATATACATACTTATCCATTCAGTGTGTGCAGCTTAATTAGCAAATATTCAAAATGACATTATATTTTAATTTTTCAGCATATGACCATATAATGCTTTTCCACTTATTTGATCCTCAGCTAGTTTAACTATGCTAAATGGAAAAGATTGTTCATATAACCAAGTGTTCTGTGTTTGGGAAGCGTGTTTCATTTAATACAAAAGCTGGAAGATGCAGGGTAAACAAACCAGGCATTCCAGGCAATACAGTCTGTGGCACAGTCCTGGAGCGACACACCTCTCAAGCACAAAGTGACTTAGGTTCTCTCTCAGTTGCACCCACTGCATTCTTCTAGCGTAGGACTTCCTTAGTTGCAGCAATTAAAAATATAGGAGGCTGTAGTAATAAGATTTTAAACCAGAGGTGTGGCTTCTACAGCTGTACACACATGATAAAAAGCAAAACTGAATCAAAAATGGCAAAAAAAAAAAAAAAAAGGTCAAATATCAAATTAATTCCGTGAATTTTGAAAACAGGATAGACTGAAATAAGAATCTCCACACTGGTTCAATCAAGTGGGTGGCTCATGTACAAAGAGCTAAAGAAACAGAAAGCTACGTGCAAGACCAGCTGTTTTATCAATAACTAAATGTGAAACTGCCATTTAAATATTTAAGTAATAAAAAGTAATCCAACTAACTACATGAACATAGCTAACCCATGCAATAAGTTACAGAACAAAGTCAAGAGGTTACTTATTGTTTCAGGAAAAGCAATAATGTAATTTCTGTGTCTTTTAACAGCCAATTAACAGACAAAAACCAAAATTAGTGGTCTATGGTAAAGACAAGAAAACAGAACTTTCTGTCAGTACTTGAATGAAAACAAATAATTCACCATTAACCCATTTTAAATCCTTTATTTTACACAATTGCAATTGGAAATGAATTTCATAATTCAAAGTTTTCCTTTATTTTAATGGTGCCTGTCATTCATTTGGTTTTCCTTATTTTTGATTTTGAAATGTATATATATACATATATATATATATATATATATATATATATATATATATATATATATATATATATATATATATATATATACTTATTTTTCTTATCAGATCTCTCTTCTGACTTTATAACTCCAGAAGTTCTCCCATTTGATTCACTCCAGCACTAACAAATGCTGATTTGTGGAGATTTGTGATGCGCTAGCCCTTCAATATATACACGTCAATGCAGAACTTCAATCGCTGCCCTTGAGTCACCATCTTCCAAATCTATCTGAAATAACTACTGCCATCACATTCAGTAACTTCTTGTTAAAATAAATCAGATGTTTTGAAACGTCTGAGATACGCATTTACGCTATTTAATCTATCCCTATTAAATGCAGAGCTATAAACAACCATAATCCCTTAACAATCACTCACAGACAACTCTGCAAACCTTTGTGGGTCTGCAAACCTGATGATTCACTGCATTAAATTTATTTCTGGTAACAAGATGCCAGCTTTCATTACGATATATTATCATTCAAGGTGTAAGATAACTACATTATTACACTGTGACTTGCAGGCAAAGAGGCTCATCTATCTCAGACAACTAACAGCTCCGTTTTATTTGAGCCACAGAATTAACACAGAGGACGTTCTGGAAAAGAAGACTTTTAAGCTTTGCTGTCTTCTCTTTGGTGTCATGAACAGCAAGAATGCAATTCCACAGGAAAGGAAATGTTGTATTACTCTGAAAAGCATAGCTTGTATCTTCAGTCTCTTGTGTAAGTTCACCTTTTCTTTATCTCATCTACGGCAATGGAAACAATCCAAACTCGTTCACGAGTAACTTTTTAAAGCTACCAACTGTTACCTTCTTTGTCTTGAAACCATTCGTGGTCTGTGGTTTAAAGAAAAGTAGTGTCTAGTTTCCGTAATGCTTTGAATTGGTAATTGCCATCTGAAAACCTTCAAATTATTAAATGAACCTCTATGTAACCTATAAAACTTTATTCCCTGATATTACTAAGATATAACTAGATCTGTGATGGTTCTAAATAAAGCTACGTACCATATTTTATGTGTCTTTAATTAAAATGGAGGGCTAGAAAACTTCAGCTAGAACATCACTATCAGGTACGTCTTTCATGTTTCTAGTATTTAAAATGTATTCATCTAAATATCAATGATTTACTTTCCCCTCAGAACTTAAAGATACATAGATTATTATGTGTGGTGAGTGTCTTATGAGCTGAAGATTCCTACCGAAGATTCTTACATGATTCCTACTGGTTTACTTGGTATCTTGCTAAAAGAAAATCCTAGTCTGAAATACTGCTATGCTGGATTCTGGTAAAAGCCATTTAACTACAAATGTCCAACAGATAGAGGGAGATCAGTAATCTTAGACCTTTACCGTAGAAAGGTAATCTTCACAGAGTGTTCTTACTGAAGTGAGATAATTCAAAACAGCTTGTACAAAGCGAAGCAAACCACTTCATATTTGCATTGGGATACAAATCTTCACACAAATACACAGTTAACAGATTATCTCACATCTTGCTGAGGTTTGTACGGTCCCTAAAACAGTGGCTTGTATAAATTTGAAGTTAACTAATACTTTTACCCTGAGGAAAAATTTACTTGAACTACCCTGTAGTAAACATGAGAGTAAGACTGTCCATAACAGCATTTAGTCACGGAGCTCATATGAGTTACTGAGTTAAACCCAAAGTTCGCACGAATTAACTCATCCTCTGGTAAATGAGAAGTCATTTATAGCCCTAATTCACAGTGCAGTACTTTAAATTATCTCATATTGCGCAACCCTCGTATTTCCAGATAACCACGAAATAATTTGAAGTCCCAGAAGTAACTAAAAAAAGTTGTTATCCTTCAATCTGAGGATCATCCGTCATTCATAGTCATTTTATTGTGGTTTCATTAAAATCAACTTAAATGTTGGTGGTGCTGATTTCTATTTTTATTTTTATTTAGAAAGGGGAAAATATTCCTTTAACAGAGAATAGATCTTTTATGCTTGCTTTCCTCTTCTGCTCCCATCTTACTTTCCACCCACAGATCATTCATATGATGGTGATATCATTTGCCTCTACGGTACTAACAACTGAAAACTTCTTTAGATAATACATTTAAATTCACACTATACGAGAGAAAATGACTCGCTCTAATGATTTAGGCACGTAACTTGTATACAAATTTAGGTATCTAGGAAGATGGACATTCTACACAAAGTATATATTTTACCTGCATAATCAAAAGGGAGACGTGACATTGATAAGAGACAGAAATAAAGACATTTCTCTTTGACAAACAGAAATCTTCCCTAACCTAAATCACTCTGTGGTTGTACTAAATGAGCTGATGAGTTGGGGAAATACTGGTAGCAGGAGTACTTAAATTATCATTTCAGTCTAGATCAGAAGTGAACTTCTGAATCAAGTCTCTATTTACTGTGCTTGGGTTTCACAACACAAAGCAGTCTTAACATACATGAACAAGACTCTTTTTCAATTAAACTAGATCAAAAGATTTATTTTAGAAATACATCTGACGTGCTACAGCTGTTAGGCAAGAGATATACCAAGAGAAGTGCTTGTGAAACAACAGCCTAGCTTGCACAGAATAGATTTCATTGCTTGTTATTGAAGCACATGAAAAAGACAGGCTCCCTAATTCAACCTAAATAAAAGAGGACAGCCCTGTGGTACTCCTACAAGAGAGAGTAATCTTGGACTTTGGTAAAGATAACATTTTCACTAACAGCAAGATCAAGAGCGTTATATGAGACTTTCTAACTACATCAGAAACACATCAGTCATTTTGTAAAACATATAATAAGGTCTCATCATTGAAATCGTTATTTCCTTCAAACTAGTTGCAAACAAAAATTCAGTGGTGCGCGACTGCAACTTGCCTGATCGAGATAAAAAGCACTGCCATCTCGGATCTCTCGTCGCTGTTTGAGGTCTGTTTCTGTGGTGTCTCTTGACAGCGCAATATATTCAACCTCCCGCTTTGTTAGTTCCTATGGACAACATTCAGAGGTTATTACAAAAATAAAACTGTAACCGCAGTAAGTGAGCTACAACAATAGGCCTAATGGTGTAATTGTACAAAAGAGCTCTAGGCAGCAGCACGGTGATCTGAAATAACTCTGAACAAAATCTAATATCTCTTATTTTTAAAATGTTTACAGTGTGTTCTGCCTCAAACAAAATGGCCTGAATTTCTGCTCAATAAAATTTATTTTCCCCAAACCTGTTCTAAAAATACAATAACCAGCTATATAGCTGTTCATCTGAACATCTATAAAGTCCTCTAAGCTAATTTTCTGGATGCTGAAAAACAATCAGCATCTGCAAGTCATGAATAGAAATCAGAAGATTTCCATAAATCTCAAAAGCTTCAATCCTATTACTGCTCAGTAATACTTGTGCTGTTACACGGGTGTGATTATTACCTGCACATACTTTGTCAATACACTGATGTGTGATATTGTTCTCATCCCCTCTGCCCTTAGTATCACAACACGAAGTTTACTTCTGTAAAATCATAGACTGTTTCAAAATGGTGAATCTTCAGATTATTTTTTTTTTTAATTTTGACTCAGTAGGAGCTATACTTAGGTTTTTCTACCTTAAAGCAAAAACAAACAAACAGAACACAACACACATTTATACCCAATGTTCCTGCTACTTCTATATCTGGGATATCATATATTCTGCTAGGAAACAGATTCACGTTGAAATACCCTTAGCCCTTAACACTCAGCTAAAGGTATAAGAAACAGATCTCTCTTTAGAGACAGCTTTTAATTATAGTTGTTAAAAAAACAAAAAAGGCAAAAATATGAAAAAAACAGAACTACTTCATTTTCATTTTTTCTGTACCTTCTAGGTTACAAAGCCACCGATTCCTCTATAATGCAGGTAGGTACAATCTTTTTGTTGTTATGAATAATATGAAAACAAAAAAAAAAGGGGGTGGGGGGGCACCTCCATTTGTGATCCTTCTACCCAACCAGAGTCTGGACAGAGCTTATGGCAGAAAAAGCCCGACCCACATCATCTTTTGGGACAGACAGCCGCTCCCCTTCCCGATCACTTAAGGGCACCAGTGACTTAAACGTGAAATCTTGCACATGGTGCTGCCATGGTTCATGCAGATGGATGTAGGCAAGCGCTTCCCACATTCCATGAGCGGATCATACACACGTCTCCTCCTCCTAATCAGTCATGATAACTGTTCCCAAATGTTACTCCTCTCCTAAATCCTTTCCTTCATTTCTTTTTTTATACAATGAAGCAAAAACGATTTGTTGTCCGTAACAGCAGGCAGATAACTTAATCTAACATACATAATGCCTAGAACAAACTGTTTCTCCATTTGTGATAGCATATGGTAACACAGTTTTCCAACTATTTTTTTTCCCCTGGAGTTTAGACAGAAAAACATGTATTAAAATGTCTGTACTTTCTATTCATCTAAAACAAACTAAACTCCAGAAAGCATGTTTATGGAAAAAGTTATTTACCTCCTAGAACTGCTTGCTGTTAAGACTTTCTAGGACTACTTCCCAGAGTTTTGCTAGTAGAAGAGCATCTAACTGACATTAATGACTATTTCTCCAAGAATTTAAACCAACATACATACCAGATACTGCATGGCAATAGATCGCCGGAGGGGCCCAGGAGGACCAATAAGGAAGACATCTTGGCCGAGAAGATCTTTCTGCATTATCCATCTTAAATGCTGTATCACAGACTGGGCCAAAGAATCCGTCACTTTGAAAGAAAAATAAAGATAAGAACATATTTAATTCCAAACGTGTTAGATACCTGGCCATTTATACATCTTTTTGTTCTTATCTCCAAAACAAAAGCAAAGACATAAATATGTGTCACCCTAAAGCTAGATAACTGAAGAGCCGGGGATTCCACGCACAGTTTGTATTGTTTACATCAGTTTTATCAGTTTTATTAGTTTACATTTACTACTTAGTTTACATCACGGTTGATATACCTGTCTTACCCACTGCCTTTCTCTCTGCACAACTTCCTCCTTTAAAAAAGTAGAAACAAAACAAAAAAGTTGTTGATCCTCATTTCACACTGAGCTCATCAATGCAAAGACTTGTCAGCATCAGTTTTGTATAATAAAGACACGCTATTAATGATTTGTAAAAGAGTCATCCAACCTATAACCCAATGCTTCTGTGAATCATGAACTTCAAAAAAGCAAATACTCCGCTTGCATCACATTAAATAGATTAATTTTCAGGATATATTTAACTTGCTACTTCCTTAAAAGACAACTGCACTCCTGCTTACATTACACGTCTCAGAAATGAGCAAAAAGCACTAACTAGCACGGGAGGAGAGCAAGAACACAAGCAAGCCAGGAGGGAGGTTTATTTATGCCTGTGTATATATGGTTGCTTTCAGAACAATCTGACAAGAGCAATGATAGGGTTTGAAGCTAGGGCTTCGAGGGTGGCGCTTGGGATGCTGTAGATGCATCTGAAGTTCAATGAGAAAGAAGCAGAAGATGAAATCTTCAAATTAATAGTTGTTCATTTACCTTTTTTTCAATGTTGCTGCTGGTTGCAATTAGAAGCCAAATTTTTAAGAAACAAGCTTTGGTTTTACATTAGCTTTCCTGAGGCAGGGGAAAGGGCAAAGTCAAAAGACGGCAAGCAATAGCGACCTTCGACTCATAAGGTTTCAAATTCACTTCTGTGTTTTTGTGAATCAGAACCAAAATTCATTTTTGTAAAACCACGGAAAAAGTACAAAGATTTTATGAGGTTTAAGTAAGATTCTTCAAGCATAAGGGTGACAAAGGAAGTTTATCAAACATTTTAAGTGAAGACGTTGATCTGTCACTCAGGAAAACCACCAGAAATCTTTTCCCACTCCCAGTGAAATCTACCATATCCTTACCACCAATATGAACAGAAATAACACACACATAAACAAGCAATCCACGTGTTAGGATTATCAAATTAATTGTAAATAAACATTTCAAATTGTTCTGTTTTTAAACAGCTGTCACTGACCTGCCCAGGATTATTGAACATCCTGTTCTCTCCAATGTTGGTGCGGTAAAATTTTATGAATGTAAGAATATTTTCTTCTCTCTGCAATACTGTTTTTCCCCAAAGCTATGCACATCACGTGCACCATAGGCCAAACGCAAATAGATGCCTCACAGAGAACACCACACTCCTTTGTTAAATTCTCAGAAAATTAAGGAAGTTCTTATTAAGTATATTTCTCACGAAATAAAGGCTAATGGAGCACATTAGAACTTGGTCTGTCCAAATTTTGCTGCTTTAGAAGCACGGTAATTTGAAAAGCACCACACAAACAAGTGTTTTATTAAAGGTATCATTAAAATTGCAATCAGATCTCACTGAGAAGGCACGTTCATAATTACTTCTACCTGTTGTATGAATATGCTGTGTGTGCCTCTAGGGCATTTTTGTAGCAGCTGTTATAAAAAAAAAAAAAAAAAAAAAAGGTTACATTACCTAAATTGGACAAATCTTGCTGAAACACTGAATTCTTTCATGTCAAGAGTCATGCACTGGAAGCATTGACAGAGCATGACAACAAACGCCTCTGGTGTATTTCCCATTAATATGTGTAGCTATCTTTTTTATTTTTAGGATGGCCTCAGGAAAAAACTCGGGTCAAGCTTAAAAGCGGCACCATAAATAGAAGCAGGATTTAAGAACGTTCAGCAGCATCTGCAAGACAAACTGGCGTGTAAAAGAGAACATAAGCACACAGCATTCAAAATCTAACTCTCAGGAACATGACCCCCACCCCGCAAACATTAATGCATTTCGGTGCGCTTATATTCTCTTGGTTAAACAGCAGAAATGTGCTCTGAAATACAAATATGCAAAATGCCACTTTAAAAATAAAAAATCAATTGTGCTTTCCTAACCTTGCTTTTGGGTAAAAAGTCACAAAAGACAGAATGACTCATTGATACAGTTAATAGGAAGTAGTTTCATTGCTTCTTCATTCAAATCATTCTTCACATGTACAGGTTACAGCTGAATCAATCATAATATGTTTTTAATACATTTCACACCATCAGCACACTGCCCATTTGCAAACTCACTCAAAGGAAATCTGCTAGGAATAATGCCGGGAATTCAAAGAAAGCATTTCCTAAAGTGATCTTCCATGACAGCAGCTTCCACTTTTCATTTCCTTCTACTCTGACGTACAATATCTGTACGTCTCCAATATATTAACCCTATTTCAATTTTCCAGTTATTTCCTTCTAAAATCAGGAAAATATAAAATTTCCTTTGCACACACATTCTATACTGCATAAACTATTTCCAAAGCACAGGGCACGTTTCTAAAGAAACATGAGATGTACGCATGCAGTACCTTGTATTATTTCTATATATTTAGACCACTTTTACTGTGGTATCTGCATTGCAAAGCTTTTCAGTCTAATACAACTTGAAAAAACCCCTCTCTGTTCAAGTGCTTGATGTTAACTTTACTGCAAGAGGCACATAATCATTCTCTATGACATTTCGAAGACAAGGCAAATTAGCTGAAAAAAGCATCAGCATGTATATTACAGCAGTTTTTATTAATTATCCCATGAGTCAGATAACATCTAATGCAAACGGGGTTTGCACAAGCTGTTTAGTGGCACTCTGCTGATTTGCACTAGCTGAGTAGCTGGCCCCATACTCTTAATCTGCAGGGTGGTGCGTAGGAAGCCTCTACAGCGTATTCTCAAAGACGCCATCTGGCACATGCAAAAGAGTAGTCAGTGCTACGATTTGCTATTCCTATGCATTGAGGATGGCCAGGGAAAGAAATGGCATTATACCACTGCTTCACGTGTGGTAAGAAGAACAACACCTAGCAGAATCTGCACAAAGATTTTGTAAAGCGAGCAGCTAAAGTGGAATTGAGAAGCCCCCAAATAAAGGAAATGTTTTAGACAGATTTTGCAGGAAATGCAGCAGCTGCTGTTGTTGTTTGATCCACAAATCAGCTTTTGATAAAAACCAAGACTGAAATGGCTATGCTAGCCTCGGAAATTTTCCAGTTCACTCATACTTGAATTCTTGGCATATGCTACACTCGCTGAAGCCGTAAGATTCACTGGAGATAGCAGACAGTATCTGCTGGCAAGTTGTTGTGTCCCACCTACAGAAGAAATCCCATAAATGACGGAAACACCTACCTCTTCCCACTGCTCAGATAGAGACATAAATAAACCAATTTCCAAGAATATCTATTCCAGATGTGATGCATAATACGTTAGAGCTCATGTCCCTGGATGACTCTGGTTTGGTGAATCACAAAATAGCCAACAGCACTCAGAAGACACCAGTGTGCACCACTTGAACAGAATAAAAAAAGACCACTGCATACCCAGACCTTTGCTATAGCACATGTTGAGAGTTCAAGAATGCTCTTCTTTTTCAGGAGATGCACAAGTTCATGAGAGGAAAAAGATCTCCTTCTCTTCAGGTTCCTGCAGTTTACACAGCCATTTGCAGCACATCCAGTGCAGGGGGGTGGTTACTCTAAAATATGGTGGAAGAAGCAGGGGACAAGAAGGGAGGTCTTTCTCTAAAACATAAACATATTTTTTAAAAGGAAAATAGTCAAAGATGCATTTCACAACTTTGTCGTTTATAGGGAGCATAAAGGAAGAGTATGCATTGCCCAGCACACTGAAGAAGGCAGGGTGGCTGAGCTGAAGAGAAAGGCACTCATGTGTGGCCTGCTTTCAGCTGCTTTCATTTAGCACTTTACAAGGAAAACATTGCTGCTCTTCCAATTTTACACTGCTGCACTAAACCCAAGGAGTTTTCAAAGCCTCACAATGCGGTTGCATCACAGTCAGTTTTCATTGGAATACTATTTCTCCTCGTAAACTTTTCATGGAAACGGCCTTCATTCCAACAATTTTTGTTCTTGCGGTGGAAGAGAAACAAGTTGGGAGTCTTTGCAGGGGCTTAGAAAGGGGGAAGTTACCTCCCTGGATAAGACTGTAAACCTATTTATCATTAATTCCTCTGAGCTGACTGCTTCACAGGAATGTGTAAGATCTACATTGGCAGATCGTCTCCATTTGAGTATAAATGAAAAGGGAGTATAAATGAATCATGTAAAATCAAACATCTTTCTGGAAAGAACACTGAATGGGATTCAAAAGATTAAGTTTCTCTTAGCGACATACAAACATGTACTGCCTGAAAAGAAGGTGTCGGCCTAGGGGTCGGAGCTAGGGGTCGGCCTCTTCTCACAGATGATAGGACCAGAGGGGATGGCCTCAAGTTGCAGCAGGGGAGGTTCAGGTTGGCAATGAGGAGACATTTCTGCTCAGAAAGAGCAGTCAGGCATTGGGATGGGTTGCCCAGGGAGGTGGTGGAGTCACCGTCCCTGGGGCTGTTCACGGAAAGGTTGGACCTGGTGCTTAGGGACATGGTTTCATGGGTGACACTGGTGGTAGGGGGATGGGTGGACCAGGTGATCTTGGAAGGGTTTTCCAAACTTAATGGTTCTGTGGTTCTATAAATGAAACTTTTCTTAGCTGGATGTACAATTTGTTGGAAAATACACAGCCAGAGCAGTTATCTGTAGCTCAGTGTCCAGCTCGAGAGCCATATCATGTCTGCTTTTGAGCACAAGAGCTCAATCCAGCACGGAGACATTCAAGTAATTCTAGAAAAGACCTAGAAGAATGTCTAGAAATTTTAGAAGACGAGGGGAAGGTAAAGCTACTGGAA